GTGTCTCAATTAAGACAAATTAATTTAGATTCAGCATTGTAGAAATAAGTTAAAATAGATTTCGTGTCCTCTTCAGGGTACAGTAATGAGTTCATAAATGAACTGACTAATACTTTCTTACTGGGATTTTGATAAAGCAAATACTGCAAAACTCCCCAGATGTGTTACTTCAATCATTTTGCCCAAATTTGAAAAAGCAGATGTGGGTGAACATGTAGATTTCATTTAAATTCTGACCCTAACTTCCTGATTAGCTGTCAACAAACAAGACCAGACAATGTAGCCACCCTTTTAGGGAAATCATCACCTCATTAAGATCACTCTGAATTTTCTATCACTCAAGAAGACCTGTGAACTCAATCCAATCCTGAGGACTCCTATAATAAATACTATTTTTTTTCTTATAACCATATCTAGGGGACTTGTATATCTATTTATATGGCATACATATGTATATATATATATTGCTTTCTCATAATACATGTGAGATTAAGAGAGAAAAGCAGGGGCATTGACAGCAACAATAGGAAACAAAGACCACAATGGAGAGGAAGTTGTGAGCTTTGACATGTCTAGACCTGTGCCTTATTGTTTCATAGCTCAACTCTTACCCATACTATGAATTCAAGTCCTTTGAGCTGTCTGTGGTAGACAATGCTTCATCGTGGAGATAAGTGCCTACAGGTCACCAGCAAAACACCAAACACTGAAAAGCAGCAGTGAAGTACCTCAAAAAAGAACAGGTAGATACATACACTCACAAAGCTCCTCTTGTGAAGATGCATCCTATGCCAGCAAACAAATGCTGCTTCTTTTCTTCTTTCTAAAGCTCAGAACACTCACCAAGTGTGAAATATTCTAAACGATACACATCCAAGACGCGTGAATCCTACTTACACTCTTCTTGACTGGTAAAAGTGTTATAAGGAATCATCAGCACTTGTGACTAAGTGGTCAAGTACCTCATTTGATGAACAGCACTCCCGTTTCTCCTCCAAATATTCCTAAGTGCCACCAATACTGCAGATATCATGGCTGCATAGATTGTAACTGAGAATCCTCCCTCTCATTCCAGAGCCATTCAGAATATAGCAAGCCACCGTCAGCAACTGAATACAAGCATATCTAATTCTGCCGATGAACTACAAATGACACAATCTCAGAACTGTTCCTTATGACACAATGACAAAACACAGAAATCCCTTTTCATTTTCTGGTTAAACTGCTGCTGCCATTGCAGGCATCATTCTCCCGGACTACTTTGGAGAGTGATTCTTTTGGATATGAGATACTGCTGCCAATTTGAAAGAGACATAAAAGGAGCTCTGAAGTCTCTGTCCATGTCTTCATAACACATGGAAGCAATGAAGACAAAGTAACTAGAACGCTGGGTAAAATTCCAGGAAGGGGGCTATGACAGACCAGCACACTTTTTTGCCCCAGTCAAAATTCTAAATTTTGCCTGGGATTTTTATTCTTATTACTGCCAACACAGCTGTTCTTCACTGAAGCCATTCTAATCTGTTGTTTCACTCTCCTTACTACTTCTTGTTTCCCCTGCCTCAGCTTTATTGACTACTTTTGGCTTATCTTGGATTCCCTCTCTTGTTCAAATCATTCACTGTGTTTTTACAATTCACCACTTCTGTCTTTACCCTGATGATTCAAGTCTTCACATTTTTATGATTGAATGCCTTTAGATGTTACTTAAAGAATTCTTTAGTCAGTTATGAGAAAACATTGATTTCAGCTGGACTCAATATCAGTGTTCTTATCAATATCTATCTTGTTTAGCACAAGATCAATTTTTCACCCCAAGGGAAAAACAGATCTAAATGTTCACCCGACCTTCAAATATTTTACGTATTTCATCAGAACTACCTGGAAGCCTCATCACATTATGGCAATGGATGTTATGGACTTAAATTATAAAAGCAGTCGGAGTAAAATAATATGTAGAGAGGATGTGAGTTAACAGCATAAGAAATAAACTGTCACCCATAACTAGATGAGGATTCTCCTCTTTTCCACGAGATGCATGTTAGAGTTTTTCCAGATGGATGTTATGTGAAAGCCCAGTGAGCAAGTTGTATTCGTTATCAGCAATTATCTGGTCACAACTGACACACAAGATGTAGTCTTGAAACTGAAGAGCCCAATATACAGAGGCACAAAAAGCAGTATTAAGTTGGCTAATCAGCTGATTTCTCTCTTCCCACACCAAAAAGAAATAAAAATGCCTCTTTACATATTCTCTGGTGAAAGTAAAGAAAACCCTCCAAACTTTTTCAAAACGAAGACATCTTCAAATCTTTAACACAATGGAGCAGCTGCTACTGAGTTTCCTTGATGGGTATATTCTGTCATTAGGGAAATCAGAGGCCCTGCTAAATACCTTTTTTGTTTGGTTGTTTGTCAGTTCAAATACTGATTAGGTTCTCTGACAACCACATTGTTTGTTTGCAAAAATACAGAAGGAAAAACCTTCAGTTGCAACTTGCATTCTGCAGAAGCAGTGCATAAACTTAGAGATATTTTGTTTAACTCATTTTCAGCAGGAGATTTTACCATTATTTAAAAAGGCAATGTAGAAAAGCCCAACTTAGATGATTCTTTCAGTATCACTGTGCAAAAATGATACGAAATCTATTATATGATCTAAAATATCTAAAGCAGATAGTAAGCTTGCAATTTTTACTCAGGAAATATTAACTGTGCAATTAAAGTATGTTTTAAGGAAAACAATACTGGATTCTGAAACTAAGCATAGTATTGAAAAAGATGAGTCAGAGTATGAGCTATTTGACAAAAGAAAGTTCAACAAAGACGAGTTTGTGACAGAAGGGTAAGGGCCCTTTTTTATCTTACCATAGCCTTGGATATAAATCAGAGCTGACCGGAACAATAGCATTTACATGGCAAGCTGTGAAAGCCTAAAGAGAGATTTCTCTACCTTCATCTGGAAAAACCCACATCCAAACACACCATCTGCCATGGCCTGCCCAAAGCCAGTGTATCGTTGAGTGCTGTGGACATCCACAGGCACCACCAGCATGCAATTACCTCGTACCTTGCTCTGCTGAAATTCAGTCAGTGTAGAGTGGGATGAGTGAGGAGACACATTATGCATGATTGCACACAGCCACATCCTAAACTATTCTTTTTAAACGGCAACCCCAATAATAAACTGGCTTCAGCTTATGGAATACATAAATTTTACCGACAGTTAAAATAGAAAATACGTAAAATTGTCTGGGCATCATTGTTTTTATTTATAATTTAACTAAGAATACATTCCGCATAACATTACAAATACTGAAGATGCTCTGAATGAAATTTTGAAATTTCTGGTGGCAGAACTCTGACACAGTGTCTGTAGCTTGTTAAAACTTTTGTCAATATATTAAAATTTGCCTCTGCAAAGATAAGAAGGACAGAATATCAATTTAATGCTGAAAAAAAATCCCTCTTATTTACTTAATTTATGCATTATTCTGTGTCAGCCAGTGATCATAAATATGTGTCTATACAGTCTGTCCCTCAGCAGGGGAGAAAGTAAATAACAGTGTTGCCATTATGACTTCTTGTGCAAGAAATATGTGGTTTACAAACTTCATTATAAAAAGCATTGAAGCATGTTTCCAAAGAGGGACTCTGAAGTGGAAAGAAAGTAGGATATTATACCAGATGAAAGTTCCATAGAACAAGGTTCTGCACTCAGAAGGAGTTGTACTTGTCATTTACCTGCAACAGAGAAAATGGAGATAAAGAAATGGAAAAAAAAGTGCTGCAAGAAGAGCTCAGCTGTTCAAAACCTTGAAGCCAAAGACATTGAGAGAAAGGAAATGGAAGATGGCAAACATGATTGAAGGCGGGGTGGGCATCAGTGATACTGAGAGAAGAGTGAAAGAATGCAATGGCATCTTGGTTGGACAGATGAAGGAACAACCAGAAACAGAAAAAGAAAGGTGAGAAACCTCCACAACTTGCTCAAAGCAGCTGTGTAATTTTACAGTTGGTATAGGAATGGTTTCCAGTGGGTGTCCTCCTGACTGCACTGATCAGTTTAGTTACATTATAGGTTTCCTCTAAGTCCACCCCCCACATCAACTCCTTCTGTTCTTCTTGGAGGACAACGGTGAGATCTCTACATTGGTTTAATGTATCACAGATGTGGCACGTATCCAGGTTTTGGAGCTAAAAAACAAATACTTAACCAATTTTTGCCATTTCTCCTCCAAAACCTACAGTTGTGAACATATTTTTCATATTTTTTTTTCAGCGTTTCTGAGAAGTACCATAATTACACCACCTAGAAAACTGCATCTTGAATTTGCCCACAGCAATAAAACCAGAGTGGCAGCAATGCCATCATTTTCAAATGCCTCTGTCTTGACCTAAGCGTAGGATATGGTCTTTGTCAGGTCAATACTTGACTTGTTTGTGAATCTCAGCAGGAGTCCACAGCAGTGGCCATTGAGAGGATGATTTCAGGTGCAAACATCTGCCTGGTTTACACTAATACAGTGTATTTCACAACGAGGAAATGATGATTTTTTGGGTAGTCAGAACAATAAGGTACAAAGCAAGACACAACATTTTTTAGGAGTTCTGTTTTTCTGATTTCATTTAGCAGACAACACACATGTTGCGTGGAGAGTTTGACAAAATACAAACCAAATAATCTATCTGCACTCCTTACACTACCTCTGTTGGAAGAATTACGTTCAATAAAAGTGTTGAAAAGCAGCTAGAGATGTCAAAAACATTTACAGGCTAAACAGATCCCAGCTCAGATAACTCCATTTCAAATAATCTAAATTCATCCCCATTATCACTTAAGTGAGCATTACGGCTGTTAGCAAACCCTACACAAATATTCAGATTTTTGTTTTTCCTGTCATGCTGAAGGTTATCTCCCCAGCTGCTCTGAAGAATCAGGTGACAACCATTTCCCATGATGCTTTAAGGGCTGTCAAACTGTCCATCAAACTGTCACCTGACCAATCGTTCCCATGGTTCTTTTAGACTTCTAGTATGATAAATTGAAAGGCACTATTATCTGCCTGTTGTGAAGAGGAACTGCTTAGGCTTTGATAAGATATCACTAGTCCCAGGTGAGAGGAGGCTGACAGCACATCAAGACAAGAAAACACATGGAAACAGTGAACACAGGAGCAAAAGGTTTACAAACATCTGTTGTCATTATTTATTACCCCTTTCCTTGGTTTTAGCTCTACCCTTGTTCCATGTCAGTTTAAAAAGAAAGACTTCCTTCTCAGCCAATCTTAACTGCTGCTATTTTTAAACCAGTTAGTTGTAGAATGAGAAATGTTTTAAATATGAAAGATATCTTTAATAAAAGGTTGCATTAGCTACCTTTTCTGATATATGTTGCTTTTACCATCATTATGTTTCAAGTTTTATATGATTCTCATGGTGCAGTTATGTCATAAAAAAACGAGAAACTCTGTAAGGTATGAAGACTTTTTAAGTTATTCTTTCACTGATATCTTGAGGCCAATTCACAGTTTTCTTGCTAACATTTCAGATCTGTCCTTATACAAGTATCCAAAATTAGCTGAAGATACCTCAGAGCCAAAACAATATGTTGTTATTTATTGTGTGCTAATAAAAAGAAGCTGGTTGCTAACATCACCACCTTGTGTACAAATATTTGTTTGCATGCAGTTTTAAATGATTTTAGGCAGTGCTGTGATTTCCTTAAACAGCACTACAAAACCTCAGTCGCACGAAAGAACACTTAAATAATTTTATCATTAAAATAAAAAATATTTGAGCCCTTCAGGCTCATTTAATTATAATTTTATGGTCATCTGAGTTAAGATTGACAGCAAGGTCTTGTACCCTGTGGACAACCCTATTCACTGGAGTAAACAGTCAAAAATCCACAAACTACTAATAGAGGTAATAAATTAAGGTATGTTCAGCTAATTTCTAAAGTCTCTTTTGAGAAATGCTAGATTGTTACATTTTGAGATACCTCCAACTTCCTCACATTTTAAACATACACCTGATTTTAAAAGTGGAAACTCAGTTCACCCATGGTTACAAAGCACCCCGATCAATAAGCACAATAAGATACTCCCTTCATGAGCCAGGTGAAAAAGGAACAGCTATAGTAACCAATGAACTCCATAATATCAAGCTGATTTGGACAGGATGGTTTCTTCTATCCCTTTTCATGTAGAAAATCAGTTAGTGTCAAGTGTGGTAGCCAGAGGGGAAAAACAAGAATGAAATAACAGGGCATTTTCCCACTCTCAAATGAAAAATTCTACTGAGCTAAAATATTCTCTCGGTTATTGCTGACCTGCCAGCACACACAGCAGTGCTCTCTGGGCACTTTTCAATAAGAAAAGCACATGGTTCCTTTCTCTAGGTCGTTATAATGGAAAGACATAGGAATATTGAAAAGAAAGAGACAAAATACACTGAGTGGTTGAGGTGGTAGCTGACTATTTGGATAATCATGTTATATTAAACTCATATTTGTCCTGTTTTCTCTAATCTTTGAAGGAAGAAGCACAAGTACAGAGGGGGAAGGGACTCTTTACATAGTATCAGGAATAAAGTATTTCATGTATAGATGCTGGGGAGAAGAAGCTGCACTCTGCATATGAGAAACTGATGGGCAAACAAGTGGATGTGATTGGAAAACAGCAGGGTAAGGCACAGTCATGCAGGACTCAGCACATGGACAGGAAGCTTCAGGGTGGTGTGGGGCAAAGCTGTGAAGGGTTTCAAAGATAGGCACAACTGGATGATCTTAAAAGTTGGTTTGCACAGACAGGTAAGACTTCAGGTTAAGTGCTGACATGTCCAGGAGCTCCACTGAGGAAGAAGCTAAAAATGAACACTACAATATTTTGGTACTACTCTCAGTACTGCCTTTAGTACTGAGAGTAGTACTACTCTGTTACTGCAGTAAGAGAAACTCTCTGTCAGAAGCAGAAAGTCTTCTGCAAATAGAACACTTTAAATTGCTTAGATAATGTTAAAGTCAGGCTTAAATTGTGGGACTGTAAAATACTATGGCCACAGGAGTTATAGATTTTTCTCCACTGATCATTTAGAGTTTGAAGACAGAAAGTAAACATATGGCATACACAATCCTGCAGCTTTGTAATAATAAATTAATTATGCTTACAGTGAAGAGTTATTAAAGGATATAATCGACAGTTCTTTCTTAATAGCTTGGTTATACCTTGCTTACACCTTGTTGCATTTACCTCCTGATAGGGAGTTTTGCCTACACAGACTGTAAATGAAGAACAGGCAGGACTGTGGGAAAGCATCTGATCCTGAGCAGCTCCTTACTCGCTGCCTCACCCAGTGAGGAATACTGACAGAGTCCAGTGTTCCAGTTCTGCACCTATTAAAATATGCAGCCCTTTGCAGTAGCCAACACATGCTTAACGAACCATGACAAAAACATTATCTAAACTCTGTTCTATATTTTATTTCTACTTTGCACGTTCTGTTAATAAATATAGAAGTGTCACCAATACGATTAAAAATGAAACTGATTTATTCTTCCAATGGCAATAATTGCATTTGCCAGCACTGTTGACATAGCACAGATCACTGCCTGATAGCTGCCAGAAAAATGCAAAAGGAAGTTAAAATAGGAGAGAGATGAACACAGAGAGGTAGAAGGGCAAAGAAATCACTGACTGTAATGTTTGAGAAAAGGTTGGCTCAGGTCAGTCTGAAAGACAGGAAGTGTCATAGAAGAGACAGTACTTGATTATAGAACTTGAGTCTTTTTAAGGTATGAGAAAAGTTCATGGGAAACTCTCTTCAAAGGTCAACCTAAGGAATTTAGGTCACACAGGAATACTCAAATCACTCAATTTTACCAGGAGTTTTCCTACTCCTGATGTCTGGGTCATTCTGTTGTGTTGAAGGGAGAGGATGCATGGCAGTGGAAATACAGAGCTTTCTCATTTGCATTGGTTATACCATGGCCATCACATGAACCAAAATAGCAGACTTGGATCAACCCCCAGTTTAGGATCCTGTTTCACTGTTTTGTGGTCTAAGATAGTAGAATCTCCTTCTCTTTGGAAGAAAGAGCCCTGTAGCTCACAGTGTCTTTACATGAACTCTCCCTCTCCAGTCCCCTACCTGTGCCAGGAGGAGACCAACCATCTGTGTCAGAGGTATTTCACAATGGCTTGAAAGGACAATGCAGTGCCTGTAACCAAGGGTACAGACAGCAGCACATTATATCACTGGCTGTAAACTTACAGGATACCAACTGGTCTTTAGTTACCACTTACCCTTTTGTTTTTCTTTTGCAGTAAATGCAAGGTAGATTGCTTATGTCTCTCTGGACAGGAGACTACTTTGACCTCCTGTTTACCACAGATGGTAAAGCCTGGAACATGGTCAGACATCTCAAAGCAGCTGACACATCCCGGTTTGGTATTTCTACTATTTTTTCCGATACCTTATCATATGAACACATTTTTATTTCCACATATCCCTCTGGGTTTACAAAATCTTCTGGGCTTCTGGAAGCCCACATGTGCATCTAGCTTGTGCTAACAGAGTAGAGTATGATGCCAGCCATACCATGGAAGTAGGCCAAAATCTTGCAGGAGAAATGGTAACATCAGTGAAAATATATGAGAATAAGGACTGCCATCCTAAGTAACCTAAAAACCTCAATGTTACTACTTTTGAAAGACTCTCTCCTTTTGGACCTTGGCCCTGCCTATGTGTACAAGTAACTGAATGGAGGCCAATGTAATGGGACTACTCATGCATAAAGCTAGTCACATGCATTAACGCTGGCAGGAACAAGGACTTTCTTTTCATACTTACACTAGAGGATAGTAAAAGAAATGCTGCTCAAAGAAATCCATCAACTAATTCAAACTCTAAGCTAGCTACTTCAGAACCTAGTACAATGGCCACACTCAATGAGTCCATTGAAGACCTGGAGACGAAGTAAAAACAGGTTTCTTTTTGAAGAACATTACGAGATCAATACAGTGCCGTGGATATTAGGAAAAGTCACTTTAATAAAAAGGAAATTGCACATAATGTAACAAAACAATTGCTATTTGGAAGGCCCTGAAAAAATGGAACAATGTAATATGATATTTCTTAACTTCATTTCCCATCCATTGGAGAAATCATAACAATGAAGTTTTCTACATAAGCAACTTTATGAGCTGAAAGAAGAGAATGTATAATTCCTTTCCATGGACTAAGCCAAAAGAAATGAAGAAAAAAATTGATTCTTCTCTGTTAGCCTCTTGTGTAAAATTTTTCTCCTTATCATCTCATCTAGTCATATCTTTCTGCAGTTTGAATTACCCTCTTTTCCTCAATCTGGTAAGGCAGTGAAAGGATGTTTGTTCTGCTAATTAACTTTATTACCCTGATAACTCCCTGCAGCCTTTGACGAAAACAATTACCGTTCCTCCTTTTTTTTTCCCCACTGGCAAAAAAAAAAAAAAAAAAAAAAAAAAAGAAAAAAAAAAGTCGACTATTAATTAGAAACGAGGCCCCGGTCCCTGCCATGTTAGCCTGCCACGTTCTCAGACCCTCGAGCGGGATAGCATTACATTGTCAGTAGTAATTTAGCTCTCATCTGTCTCTGCTAATTATTGTCACATTCATCAAATTCATCAACAAAAGTGCTCTCAGAAGGATTGCATATTTGCAGTTAATACAGCATAAACTGGTATTACCCATCACCACATTTGTGATGATGAGAGGGACACAACTTATTCATCCCTAATTAGAGCAAGCTGGGTAATTAATTATACATTCCGCCTTATTACTTCTGAGTTCCCAGATATTGTTTGTCTAAAAAGGGGGAGAGAGAGGAAGAGAGAGAAGCCTGAAAATTAAAAAAAAAAAAAAAAAAAAGGGAAAAAAAAAGAAGGGGGGAGAGAGAGAGGAGAGAGAGAGAAATGTGTGATGTGTTTTGTCACATGTGCTATGCCATAATTCCCACCTGACAAACTAGCTGAATCAGTAGAAAATTGCAAGTTGTCAGCAGCAGAATAAACTGCTGTAATAGCTGATTAATGATCAACACCTGTGACAGGTGCTACACGGGACTGTAAACTTGGTGTGATTAACAGTCACCGGACGAATAAATATTAGTGACAGTCAGTGGAGAGCGAGTTTGTGTGTTTTAACAAATCTCACACATTACAGTTATTGATATTTCCAGTGTAGGCACTTTCTTTTTGGTAATTATCTGACAACACTGGAAGAGTGTTTTAATCTAGTATGTTTGTTTCTCTTCTGTGCATTCAGAGTTCAAAATGGTATTTCAATGAGATGACCTAGCGGAGTTCAAAACTGCAGGCAAATTTAGAATAGTCACAAATACTTTGTTCCATGTCCAGCTCATAGCAGCACTCCCAAATATTCTTCCAAGGTACTTAAATATACACTTACACGAGCCTGCATTGATAAAAACATAAATATTATATAAATATACATATATATTTATAGAGATACATTTACAAAGCCTGTAATTCCAAAAATCAACTCTTGAAAGTTTTGTTTCTTATGTCATTGGTTATGACATATACCTGACTGCTATGGGAAGTAAGAATTTCATTCCACCATCAAAGATGCATGAATCTCTTCTGAAGGACAACTTCATTCTCATTAATTTAGACTTACAAAATTCCTGTAATAATGGGGCATGAAAGTTATCCATTTAAGTGATTTCTCTATGCTCAGCACAGTAGTATCTAATAGATTCCCAGATAGATATAGAGAGCTATATCAGGATACTCTTTGGATAGCATAAACTACATTTTTCATCCTCGTGCATGGTTACAGATATGCTGATTAGGTAAAATACATATTCTTATACAAAAAGGCATGCATTAGAAAGTGAAAAGACTCACAGATGCTAGTAAATGCAGATTTTACCACCAATTCAATGTTATTCTCAAACTCTAAACATGATATAATGTCACTGCCTTCTTCTAACAAATCTTTTACCAGGCCAAATAAAAATAAAACAAATCACAAGTAATGACTTCAGAGTTTCCCAGGTACATGTGAAAGAATCCAGTAGCTGGTCATCTATACCTAATACATCACTCTGTCCACATGACAGCTCAGCTGTGTTAAGCACTAAGATTGGTCTGTTAGAAAAATAAAGCTCACTATTTTCCTCAGAACAACTTCTGGATATAGCCAGAAGTAATTAAATAATTGTCATTAAATACATCCTAAATGCAAAGATTTCCCTGTATCATGTAGCACATCAGAAAACACGAGAAGGAAAAAAAAGGCAAAGAAACTACTGTTCATGTCAGTTCCTGGAGGGAAATAACAACATATATCCTTGCCTACAGCACAAAATATTCCAGCCATTTGAACCTTTAATGGAAACCCCTGAACACACGGAACTGGCCTGTTGCTTCTCCTACCAGACTCACAGCCATACATCCATATCAACCAACAGATTGTTTTTTTTCCACTCCCACGTTTTATAATAACAGCAGAAAAAAAGGGTTTCATTTCTTGGTCTAATCAATTTCAAACCTTCTTTTAAGCAGAAAATGTTCCACAAGCTCTTCTTTCAGGTGCAGACGACTGTGGGGAAGGGCTTCATCAAAGGGTGGCATTTAGCTCACCTGAGAACCTCCCAGTATGAAACAATTTCCCGTGAACTTCCCAGTCATCCTTATTGAAATAAGGACAGTGGAGGAACTGAAGGAGAAAGCAACATGAGTAGTAGCTCCATAAGCCCCAAACTTGAAAACAGTTTAAATACATCTAATATTTGTTCTTTAACAACAAAACGAAGATGGGAATAACCTCCAGTCTAAAATTAATGAAAACATAATTTCTATTTTTTTTTTTACCAATGTGTCATTCAATTCCCCATTTTCATTTATTCCTGCACCAGAAACGCAAAAGCCCTGAGCAATCCATTTATAAAAATGCACAGAGATGAAAATATACTTTGTGGATAACAGTTTGTTAGGTATAATACTTTTGTCTTCTGATTAATCTTTACTGTAGCAAACTGAGACACAGAAGTAATAGCTTGAAAGCTTTATGCAAAACATATGTAAATTTATTATGCTTTAGTACAGATACATCTGAATAGGCAGCAGTGCAGTGAGCCAACAGCCCAGGAAGGAGGCCAACCCCACATCCAGATGCCACTGATAGAGAGACACTGTGTGGCATCAACACTCCCAGCTGCCAGGCTCACTATGCATTTTTTACAGCATTTGACTGTAGCAGAATGAGACCTTGCAAAGCTCTCTACTGATAAATAATAATAACACAGAGAAACAATTTCAGGGAGTATAAAAAAATCTAACAATAATAAAAAAAACCCCTTAAATATTTTCCTACAGGAAGTGGCTAACTACCTGGAAATTGCATTACCACTTTATTGAACCAAGGGCAGAGCCAACAT